TGTCGTTTGATTTGTGTGTAATTCATCTTGTGAAAATAGCTGTGAAAATAGGAGCTATGGGGAGCAGGAGTGGAAGGTCCGTTGTGTGTGTGTGTGGTGGTGGTGGTGGTGGTGGGGGGGGGGGGGGCGAGGGTCATCTTTCTCGACCAACTGTTTTGATTAGGTGTTGTTTTTCTTTTATCTTTTCTTCTCCCTCCCTTTATCTTCTTCTTCTTCTTCTTCTCTCTCTCTCTCTCTCTCTCTCTCTCTCTCTCTCTCTCTCTCTCTCTCTCTCTCTCTCTCTCTCTCTCTCTCTCTCTCTCTCTCTCTCTCTCTCTCTCTCTCGCTCTCTCTCTCTTTCACTCTGTCTCTCTCTCTCTCTCTAATTCAAACTTAAGCACTGTTCAAGATGCCGGCACGAGAGGAGGTCATAAGGGTACCTACATGGAGGAAGCCCGAGCCCCGAGCTGAGTGTCTAGCAACAGCTTGAAACAACCTGTCCTCTCACCCTAATACGTCGGAATTTTCTTTTGCGGATTCGACCAATTCGTTAAAAAAAAATCGACGTATTAGTAAAAATGTAATCAGCGTTATATTGACGTTTTCGATGCATCAGCTTCGATAGGTTAGGTGGGTTGTTTGGGTTCGTAAGTTTTTGATTGGGTAAAACAGCTGCATTTTTTACGGAGTGGCAAATCAAGAGAAGAGGCACAGCTTACTATCATGCTGGGAATCAGGGGCGAAACTCATCAAGCATTTACGTGCCTATATTTACGAAACCTGTACATCTTTCTTCAATCATGACACCTTTGTTTACATATATTTTATAGTTAATGAGCTCCGAAGCACTATAGGAAGTTATTCAGACCAATACCACTGTTTGGTTGTGAAGTTAACGAAGCTTATAATCTCCTTAATAAACGCATTTAAGCGCCATAATCGAGAAAAGATGCAGAGACTTCGTAAATCAGACAATAAAGGACAGGGTTCCTTTATACCAAATGAGTCAACCTTGTAAGATGTAATAACAAATGGTTTGTTCTCAAATATAGTACAATATTGTCATGTGTTATGGTATAATACCAGCCATAACCCCATAACATCAGGTGTTATGGTATAACACCTGTTTTGCCACTACGTACAAAATCCAACCTCCTAACCTACCCAGAAACGTACAAGCCCAAACAACCCTATCGAGTCCGATACATAGAAAATGTAGATCATTGCAAGTTGTTCATTTTCCTAATAGGTTGCTCTTGTAACCTTGGTAACCATAACGTGCCAAACGCGACCTGTTAGAGGACGGGTTGTTGTAGGTTAGATACCAATGATACCATTGGTAATGGTCATAGGTACCACTGGTAATCATCTCCATAGATTATACTCGTCCAAACTCCCATTTTTAAAGGTATATTTCTTCATTTTTCCAAGCTGTGTAAAGGAAAAATTCTCAGTTATATATATTTGTATATTTTTATGTTATTTTTGTTGTGTATAGTTTTATAGTATAGATATAGTAGTATATTTAACCTATTGGCAGGTTAGGTTAGGTGTTTTCGTTCTTCTGGATTTTATGTTTGATATTTTACAGGACGAAACATTTCACTCGGTGTCCAGGCTAGGCTTGTGTAAGCGGCCGCCCCCAGGGACGCAGTCATCAGTTGTAACTGTGCTGCGTATTTAAAATCGGGGTTTTCTTAAATATAAATTAATATATATATTTGAATTTAGTTTATAGCTAGGCGTGGGTTAGGTTTTAGGTATTAAGGTTATGCTGGCAATTATTTGTATTTGCGCGTACGTGGGTGAAGCATTTCAAGCTGTTCTTAGGCTAGGCTCGTTAAAGCTGCGGCCCTTGCCCCTCCCCCTCTTGTCCTATTGATCTGATTTTTGCGAGATGTAGAAAGTTATAAATATCTAAGCCTCCAGGAGATGTGGACCCTCCGCAGACAAATTAGTTTCCTTCCACCATTGTAGTGACTTACACATGTCTTGTAGAAGACATATTTTCACATTATTTCCACCCCTTTACATAGGAATTAATGAGTTGTAATGTTTACATATCTAGTTTTATGTCAGAACAGCACGTCCGGTGCTTCGGGGAGATGGTTATTATTTCTGGTCCTTTAGGAATGAGTTGTCAACGTCGTCCCAGAGATAGAATTACTGGGACGACGAATGACATTAAGGATTTCATTGATATGATTGTATCTATTATCTGGACAGGTGCTAGTCTCTAATATTAACAGGATGTTCCACAGGAGCGACGACTACTCTGCTACGGAGTACTCTCGCCACTATTCTTGGCGAACATCTGGAAGCTTCGGTTACTTTTCTAATTTTCAGTGAAGTTTAAAATAGATTCCCGCCAAGTTAAGAGTTTCTTAAACTTGCACATAAGTTGTGTGTGTTCCAGCATTATCCTCACACTCTAGTTCCACTTTGTGGCCAACTGTTGTTTGCTGAACAATGCTAGTAGTTGTATCAGTTGTTGTTGTGGTGGTATTAGTTGTTGTAGTGGTGTATCAGTCGTTGTTGTGGTAGTATTAGTTATTGTAGTGGTAGTATTAGTGGTTGTAGTGGTAGTATCAGTCATTGTAGTGGTAGTATCAGTCGTTGTAGTGGTTGTATCAGTCGTTGTAGTGGTGTATCAGTCGTTGTAGTGGTAGTATTAGTTGTTGTAGTGGTAGTATCAGTTGTTGTAGTTTTGTATTAGTTGTTGTAGTGGTAGTATCAGTCATTGTAGTGGTAGTATCAGTCGTTGTAGTGGTAGTATCAGTCATTGTAGTGGTAGTATCAGTCGTTGTAGTGGTGCATCAGTCGTTGTAGTTTTGTATTAGTTGTTGTAGTGGTAGTATCAGTCGTTGTAGTGGTGTAACAGTTGTTGTAGTGGTGGTATAAGTTGTTGTAGTGGTAGTATCAGTCGTTGTAGTGGTAGTATCAGTCATTGTAGTGGTAGTATCATTGTAGTGGTAGTATCAGTCGTTGTAGTGGTAGTATCAGTCGTTGTAGTGGAAGTATCAGTCGTTGTAGTGGTAGTATCAGTCGTTGTAGTGGAAGTATCAGTCGCTGTAGTGTGAAGTAGTAGTAGTATCTCTATTATTATTAGTATCATCATTATTAGTAGCTATGACACCATTATTAGTAGTATTATAGGTAGTAATTATAGTATTCAAATATTTGTTAGTTTTATTAATAGATGTAGTAACTAGCACTGTTACTGGTTATTATTATTAATAGAAGTAATAGTAGTAGTTTTAACATTATTATTTATCTTAATATTTAAGAAGGAATTAGCTTTATTTTTTTATATTTTATTTACAAATATTTATCTTTCTCGCCGTCCATTCCTCTGATTATCTTCCATTCTCCTCTTCCTCTTCTTTCTCTCTTTCTTTCTGTCTCTCTCTCTTCTGTCTGTTCATCACAGCATTCTAAAGTACTTCTCTAACCTCATCAATCAGACTGTAGTTATTCTTCCTCTCTTACGCTTCTTCTACATTCCTTCCATTCTTAGTCTCTTTAATCATTCCTTTCCTCTCTATTTTTCCTTTTATTTATCACTGTCTCCCTTTCGCTTATTTTCCTTCCCTCTTTATCTTTAGGGTATAATTAATACCTCCCATTTTCTCTAAATTATTTTCATTTAACTCTCATTCTTCTTCCTTCCCTATTCTTATCCTTCTATTTTTATCATTTCCATCCCAATTCCTCTCTCTCTCTCTCCCTTCTCTGCCTACTTGTTCTCTCTCTCTCCCTTCTCTGCCTACTTGTTCTCTCTCTCTCCCTTCTCTGCCTACGTGTTCTCTCTCTCTCTCCTTCTCTCTCAGCCTGTTAGCTCTCCCTTCTCTCTTGCATATTATGCTGTTTATCCTCTTCTTTCCTCCATACTCCTTATCGATTTACTTGCTTCGTCAATATTGCAACATTTACTGAGTAACTTTGCAATATTGAGAAAGGGAAGCAGGTCATCACAATGAACATACTGTCAATGGGAGAATGAATAGGGTGAATACGAGTGAGGTGTTAGTACTGGGAATGGGGGCATGAATTAAGTGGTAGTATTAGGATGGGTAAGGCAGTTGGGATGGGCAGGAAGGGGAAGGAAGGGGGGAGGGGAGGGGGAGGGGTGGGGCGAGGGTAGGGGAAGGGAAGGGGGGGAAGGTAGGGAAAGGAATTAAAATAAGTTGCAGAATTAGTTCAGGGGAGGGAGGAAGGGGTGGAGGTATGTGGATAGTCAGAACGAAGCAGGAGAGGTTTACTGAGGCAGGATAGTCTGGAATGATAGGGAGGGGGGGGGGAGTGGGGGGAGGGGGGCAGGTAGGAGAGGGGTGAGGGGTGTGGAAGCCCCGGGCTAGTTGGAGTGGATGTGTCAGAACGTTAGGGAGGGTCAGGGCTGAAGAAGTGGATGGGGTTAGGGCCTCAGGGAAGGACGTCACGTTAGTGGGATAGTTGGTGTCAGGGACGGACTGCGGGTCATGTGGAGGGGGGATAGTGGATGATGGATAGGCGAGTATGACATGAGGGATACGAGCAAGATAACTGAAGGAAGGCAAGAGAGACGAAGGGTTATGAAAACAAATATTATGAAAGTGTTCAGCCAGTATGACCATATAGGACATGAAGGAAGGGATAGGAGAGAATAGATTATGAAGAAGGATAGAGAAGGAACGGATAACCACTGGAACAGAAGCTATGAGGTGGTGGTGAAGCGGCCAATTACCCAACCAAGAGATACACTTCCCCTCGCTTCAAACAAGATGTATAAACAAAATTAAACTAGATATAGTGATCATCTAGAAGAAAAACAGCAACAAACAGCGAGCATAGAAGACTCTTGACACAAAATATCCCATCAAATATAACCTCTCAAACATATTCTCAAACCATCTTGACAGTGTCTTCATATCTCGACAGTACTTAAGATACGAAAACATTATCATTACTCCTTTATTTTTTAACAGACTATACTTATATTCCCTTTACGCCAGGTAGAACGTGTAAATAAAACCATCTCCTTGTAATAACTCTGATATGTTTACTGTTCAAAGGTGACAATAGGACAAGGGGAGAGGGGAGGAGGATAGGGTCGTGACGCTACACAAATTGGGGTCACAACCATACCTGTGATAAGGGCGAGTTTATACTTAAGACCCAGACGCCCACACCAACCCAACCCCACCCACGACTCCTCTTCTGAAAGTTCTCAGCACTAGTGATTCCTCTTCCGAAAGGTTTCTGAACTAGGGATTCCTCTTCTGAAAGTTCTCAGCACCAGGAGTTCCTCTTCTGAAAGTTCTCAGCACTAGTGATTCCTCTTCTGAAAGTTCTCAGCACTAGGGATTCCTCTTCTGAAAGTTCTCAGCCCCAGGAATTCCTCTTCTGAAAGTTCTCAGCACTAGTGATTCCTCTTCTGAAAGTTCTCAGCACTAGTGATTCCTCTTCTGAAAGTTCTCAGCACCAGGAATTCCCCTTCTGAACGTTCTCAGCACTAGTGATTCCTCTTCTGAAAGTTCTCAGCACCAGGGTGTCGCGTGAGAGACAATAGTCGTGTTTTAGCTCCCTGGTAAGGCAGAGTGTGTGGAGGTACAGAGCTCAGGGCACAGGGCGGGCGAGGCTGGGGGAGTTGCGGGAGTAACATTGCGCAGTCCGCACGCAGACTAGAGGGACAATCGCTGCTAGCAGACGTCAACCTACAGTGGGAAGGAAGGGAGGGAGAGGGAAACTGTCTGCCTCTTTGTCTTATATTCTCTTCTTTATTCTCTGCTTCCTTCATCATCGTCTCCTCCTCTTTCTCTAACTCCTTCGTCTCTCGTGCCTACCACCCAACTCCGTTACGCAAAAAAAAAAACATATTTACAAAACAGTATTGTTACGAAGGGGAAGAAAATATATTAAGCGTAAAAAGATAAACCATATGCTCATATATCACAATATTATCGATAGAACACGCAGGTAGAGAACTACGGTCGCTCCAGGCAGGTGTCTACCCCCAGGTGTCATTAGTGGCACCTCACCTGGACACCCCAAGGCGTCCTCCCCCCCCCCCACACAGTGGCACTCTTCACGATAGCCGGATGCTGGGGACGTCGATGTTGCTCCTCGACCCTTGCAGCCTATATATCTCGAGTGAAGGATGTTAGATTTACCGCCCTCATCATGTCTATCAGCCAGTGTGATGAGGAACTAATCTCTTGTCGATCTTACCGCACCTGAGTAAAGTGTCTATGGATTGATGGTATCACGTAAGTCAAGGCTCATGCTTAAGTGTCTCCTCTCTTCTCTATGACTCGAGTTAGAAATGATCTTCACCCGCGTCACTAGCGTGAATTTTAAGAAGATTAGTTCGCTAGTGTTGACATATATTTTCAAGATCAGCCACAGAGGTCAATATCCTGGCACGAGTGATCCTGAAAATGTCAGCACTCAGGCATGAGTGACCTCAGAGATCAGTATCCTGGCACTAGTTACCCGGGGGGGGGGGGGCAGGCACTCTGGAAGGACCACTGCCACAGCTCGACCGTACTAACGACTTTGACACATGATAAGTTCGGGGCGCTCAGAAAATCCATTCTGAACCAGACGAGGGAGACCCCACTGGAGAAAGTGGTCTCCACGGCCCATCGGGACACGATTGGCCTCATCAGCAAGCTCGTCTGTCTGATCATAAGGCCTTTTACGAACCCCCATACGAGACGTCGAGGACTAATCGTTCTCGCTGTCCTCGTTATTGGAGCCTCCCAATTCATCGGTGACGTTGATATCCTCGTCGGAGTAGTCGCCGTCAGCCTCTTGGTAAGGGAAGGCATATGGACCCGTCGTCTTCCCGTAGCTGGAGAGGGACGACAGGTCCTTGATCTGTATCTTAGCCGGCATTGACGACGCTAGCGACGACGCGAAGGGGTCCGTTCTGGCCTGCTGGCTGACAAAAGTGTCGTCTTCACCCCGGCCCGGATATTCCGGGTCCTTCTGGTACAAGTCGTCGCTTGGCTGGAGGCTGAGATCGTCTTTGGAGGAGGCGACGGTGGTGGGAGACCTGACGTCGTCACCCACGTCGGAGAGATCGGGGTTGGGGTTGTTTTTGGTAGGCAGAGTCTGCTCCCTGGTTCCACCCGCCGCCAGCAGCTCCCGCTCCTTCGAGTTCCGCCACTTCATTCGCCGGTTCTGGAACCAGATTTTAACCTGCAAGTGACAAGATATCAAACGTTAGCACTCCGGAACCTGAACTTCACCTCCAAGTAACATGAAGAGATCACAACTTAGCATTCTGGAACCTGAACTTCACCTCCAAGTAACAAGAAGAGATCACAACTTAGCACTCTGGAACCTGAACTTCCCCCTACAAGTAGCAAGAGATTATAATATTCTGACGTGAAGTTGTAAGTCAAGGGCGATAATAAGCACACAAGGTATATGGTTCAGAAGCCTCTGCAAGCCAGTAACAGAAATTCAGCAGTCAGAAGGGGGAAGGAACAGCCAGATGCTGCACGCAGCAGTCAGCTGCTTTGATTAGCGGTCAGCGGCGAGGATAAGTCAGCACCAATCAGCTTGTCCGTTACAAATGCCAGTATTTCCATCCTAACCACTTGGGCTGGACGGTAGAGCGACGGTCTTGCTTCATGCCGGTCGGCGTTGAATCCCCCCACCGTCTAGGTGGTTAGGCACTATTCCTTCCCATCCCAAGACCTTATCCTGACCCCTTCCAAGTGCTATAGTCATAATGGCTTGGCGCTTTCCGCTTGACAATTCCCTCCCTACGTTACAAGTGACAGTATTTCCGTTACAAGTAAAGTATTTCTGGTACAAGGGACAGGTCTCGTCACTTGCTGGTCACAACTACATAACTACGCTCTGAGATTCAGAATGTCGAGCAAAATGCGCAAGAAAGCGATAAAATAAATAAAGAAAACAGATTGAGCCGCGTTTCCCGCGCGTGAGGTGTCCGTTACTTATTTTAAATGTAATTAGAAAATAATGAGACTTACACCACTTCCTACACGTCGCCGTAAATCAAGTCCAGACAAGGCGACCACTGATTGGTCGAAGAAGCAAGACGCGTCGTGATTTGTGGAAGAAGTTTTGTAACAAAGCCTCTGAGTGGTCGATGAAGTTGTAAGGCCGGCGGTGATTGGTGGCAGCTGTGTTCTGATGGAGTGGAGCGTTAACTCGACAAATGTGTTATTATGACCCGCCAAGATTTATAGCGAGCCGCTGGCTGGCTGCCTGGCTGGCTCGGAGAGGCACTGGCGGGAAAAAGAACATTTACCGCCATTGTTTTTAGCTGTGTTTAATGGTTATTGCCAGCGTTTATATGTGTTCTTAGTGGCGGTACTTGGCAACTTGCTCATGACGCGTACAAGAGCCTTTACTTAAGTGTTGGCAACGCTGCAGAGGACGTGTACAATGGCTTTCATTTAAAAGCTTTTGTTTACAGCTGTTGTTGACATTTGAGCGCGGCCCTCGCCTGCACAACCCTGGCTTTCGCAACTAGAGATTAATTACAGATCGTTTAAGACATGAGGTTATTGTAGAGTTCTTGATAACGTGCCTTAAACGAGCCCTTAAGGTGCATTGCGCAAATGTCTTGATGAACACTTAAGCTTGCAGCTTAAGTGTTCAGTGGTGAGCACTTAAGTGGTCGGGTGGCAAACACTTAAGCTTGTAGCTTAAGTCAAATTAATTATGAAATGCTGGCCACATATTTTTTTTTAATGTTACAATTAAGGCTACTTCCTTTGCCTCTATGCAGAGTTCTGTGCGCTATCGCAGATCATTGGCACTATCGCAGATCATTGGCACTATCGCAGATCACTGGCACTATCGCAGATCACTGGCACTATCGCAGATCACTGGCACTATCGCAGATCACTGGCACTATCGCAGATCGTTGGCACTATCGCAGATCATTGGCACTATCGCAGATCATTGGCACTATCGTAGATCACTGGCACTATCGCAGATCACTGGCACTATCGCAGATCACTGGCACTATCGCAGATCACTGGCACTATCGCAGATCACTGGCACTATCGCAGATCACTGGCACTATCGCAGATCACTGGCACTACCACAACTAACAGTCTTTTCCATTTGCAAGTCTTGAGGAATATTGAAAAGAAGCCATCTTGGTCTATTATTAACAGGAGTTTGTACTTTTTTGAACAGTTTGTCCATTTTTATCTAAAATTTTCTTTATTACAAAGTGAACAGAAAAGATTTGATGATTGGTAGGAACGTGGAGGACTTGAACGATTGGATGGACGTAAATAAACGCACGTTTCTGCACGCTCACGAATATATATTAACGCTCACGAACGATAAAGGGGTCACGAACGTAAACAAAGATTTATGGAAAAGAATGAAGACAATAAGTCACCCTGCCTCTCTCCACCCGTTACACTTACCCTGGCGCTCTCTTTCCCTTCTCCCTGGCGCTCTCTCTCTCTCCCTGGCTCTCTCTTTCCCCCCCAAACCCTCACCTTGGCTCTTATCTTCCCTCCCTCCCTCACTCTTCCTCCCTCCCTAAGAAACACATTAATTTACCGAAGGGAAATGTGTATCGTGTGCGCCCCTTTCGACACGGCCAGTAATAATATCGCTGTGATAAATAAAGGCCGACCCGTCTCCACCAACTGTCGCCGGCATGAGCGCCCTGCTAATGATGAGGCGGTGTGGTGTTATCGTGGCGCCTGCTCCACACCCGAGGCGTCCGCTCCACACCCGAGACTCCTGCTCCACACCCGAGGTGCCTGCTCCACACCCGACGCGTCCGCTCCACACCCGAGGCTCCTGCTCCATACCCGAGGCGTTTGCTCCACACCCGAGGCGTCCGCTCCACACCCGAGGCGGGTGTTGTTCTGACATTGACGCCACACCCGAGTCTGGTGATGCTCTGACGCGGGCGCCACACCCAAGGCGGCACAAATGTGAACAAAGCCCGTGAAAGTGGGGTGTGGAGAAGAGATGTGTGACAAGTGTGGAAGGAATCAGCTTTGAAAGTAGTGGTCGGGGCGTGAGAGAGCAGTGAAAAGTGCGCCAAACCGGAAAAGAAAACAACGGTGAGAGGAGAAGCGCAAGAGGAGCAAAAAACGCGGGAAAGTGAAGAAAAACATCACAGGAACGTCAATCAAAACAACTGAAAAAATATTTAAAAGCAAAAATGCTTCCAAACCACGATAGACGATAGAGAAAAACGTTCCCGTCTAATCTCTGGATACAAATAAGTGGGCGATGAGTACAAAGAGTGTATTGAAAACAGACCTCGGTAATGAGTACAAAATGTGCAGAACTGGTGTATTGAGTAGAGTGCAACGAGTACAGACTGTGTTAAATAGTGAGAAGAGCCGTGTAGTTTCGTTTATGGTGGAGGTGGTGAAGGAAGATAGTGAAGGAAGATAGTGAAGGGTGATAACCAAACTACACACCAGAAGATGAGGAGACGACGACGACGACGTCCTCTACCTCTACCCTACCTGTCCTCATCACAATCGACTTGAGAATGGTCCAGGACGGACCGAAACGTCGTTGTCCCTTCAACTTCTAGTGTGTGGTCTGATCAACATACTTCAGCCCCGTTATTGTGACTCATCGCCTGCAGACGACGACGACGACGTTTCGGTCCGTCCTGAACCATTATTATATGGTTCGGTCATCATATCTTCAGCCACGTTATTGTGACTCATCGTCCGCGGTAAAGGATGTTGGAGGAGATGGTAGTGGTGGAGGAGGACGGTGGTGATAGTCGATAATGGAGGCGATGACAGAGGCAGTGGTGGCGAAGGAAGTAAATCACGTTTTCAGCCACGCCACGTTTACAGGAAATTAGCGGCTAGAGGAAGTTGGAAGTGGAGGAAGCTGACAGGTGTGGAAATAGAGGAAGTTAGCAAGTGCGGAAGTAGAGAAAGTTAGCAGTTGCGAAAGTAGAGAAAGATAGCAGGTGTGGAAGTGGAGGAAGGGGAAACTTTTGAAGGAGGCGGAGTAGATAGCGGTGGCAGAGGATGCATGAAGAAAGTGACAGTCCGGAGAGGAATACATGGTGTAAAAGGGAAATACACAATAAGTGGAGAAAGATGATAATCAGCGAACAATTAATGGATAATAGAACAAATACGGAAAGCACCAGGTATAAAAAAAAAAAAAATAACGGTTAGAGTAGAAGAAAACCAGAGGAATTGGAGAAAAAGTGCAACAGAGGACAAAATATGAAAAAAAGTGTGGAAAAAAAACAATAAAAAGCGCGTACGTGAAGTCAAAAAACAAAACAAATCAACAAAAATCCCAAGATCCACAAAAGACAACCTCAGCGCTAGAATTAGACGGCAAATGGATCAGTTACTCCCAAAATACGTCAAAAGTGCTGACAAACCCGTAGGCTGCCGACAGTTGCCGGTGAAGGCACGAGGACAATACTCCCCGGAGGCTGGTGAGGGTCCCAGTTACCCCCCGAGGCCCGAGGCAAGTGGCAAACCACGCCCGGAACACCGTAACAAATCTGATCAAAACTGGAATTAGAAAGGCGTGAAGAATGAGAAAAACGTCACTGGTGATGAAACTGCATGTGAAGGAAAATCAGAGAAAGTAGCGGACAGCGTAGTTTGACTTATAAATAATAATAATAATAATATAGTAATAATAATACAAAAATACTACTACTACTAATAATAATAATACTATTATAAGAAGCTTTACCAGACGTGAACACCTTATCCGGCTAAGAAAATTTTCCTTATCCGGAAAATACGGCTTTCCAAGACCTGGAAACAGTCAGCGTCTATAATGGACGGTGTGGACAAGAAAGGTCGGGTGTAATTGATGTAGTGTATAAACAGAAAACGATAGTCAACATTCGTAATAACTTTGAATAACAAAACACGTGGACATAATGCTTATAAACAATGAAATCACAATAAGGTAATGGATCAAGGAATCAACACTGAAGCCGTGTAGGTAGTACTCCAGGTTAAATTGCTTTTAAAAAAACATCATGGTGCAGTCAGTGTGCGTGTCTGAATTTAGAGACGCGGGTTCGAACCTAGTGTACGGCTTCAATATACATCGAAAATGTTTATATTAACGATATATGTACTTGCCTGGGAATCTTTGAGGCCGAGTTTCTCCGCCAACTTCTTGCGATCTGGCTTACTTATATACTTCTGAACCTGGAACCTGTCCTCCAGGCCCTTACGTTGAAAGTCACTGAACACCGCCCGTCGAAGCATGCCGCGTCTGGGCTTGCCCCTCACGCCAACGCCCATCGCCGCCCACGGGAAGGTGCTGGGAAGAGGAACGCCGCCCATTCCACCTACTGTCCCGTATACTGCCAGCGCGAAGGTAGGAAAAGAAATAAAGGATTGTTATTAGTAAAGCGACCACTCTACAGATCAGATATAAGACTATATGCGAATTATATAGATTCCCCCCAGACTATGTTTAGAAATCTTGCTCCAAACTTACACACACTCACACGTTCACTCAACCATGGACAAACAGACGGGTCAAGCGCTTGCTGCCTCGCTCCCACTATGTTGCGGAGGCAACCTAAAAAATAAATGGATAAATAAGAGCATGGATTAACCTTAAATATCAAACAAATTAATTCACGATAGGAAAAAATATATTAAATCTTAATGGCTCTTAATGTTGGCAATGAAAACAATGGTCTTTGCTTGATTTGGAACAGCGATAGATTAAACAAAAATGAGCATGGAGTATTTTATTATAATTCTCTCTCTCTCTCTCTCTCTCTCTCTCTCTCTCTCTCTCTCTCTCTCTCTCTCTCTCTCTCTCTCTCTCTCTCTCCCTCTCAAACAAGGATTTATAATTCATAATAGTTGACAAACAGGGATATGTTTTTAGGCTTTCATACTCTTCCAAATTCTCTCACATTACCTTTCTCATTATCTCTCCCACTCTGCTTCTCCCCCATCTATTCCTACTCTCTCTCTCCAACCTCTTATCCGCCCAACCTATCCCCCTCTCTTTCCCTTCTTCCCTTTCGCTACCTCACCTTCTAATTTCCATTTCCCTCCCTCTCTCTCCTGGTGTCTCTGTCCACCTCCGTGCGTGTGGACCACTCACCGTTCAAGTACGTTTATTGAGACAGATACATCCCAGAGGGATAGCGTAGTTTAGGTTAGGTCTACCCCTCGCCCTCCCAGCTTACCGTTGAGGTAGGGCGGCCTGCAGGAGAGTAGAGGCTGCAGTGGGGAGTGGATGATTGGCCTAGGTCTGGCCAGCTGCGGGAGTCCGCCCAGTCGCTCTCCTATACTGCCGCCGCCGCCGCCGCCCTCTGTCACGGAACCCTATACGTTAGTATGTGGCGCACTGACTGCTGTGTCACACCGGGTGGGGGATAGTGAGGGATACACCCGGTGGTGGTGGGGGGATAGTGTGTGACTCTGGCTATGTCACACCGGGTGGGGGATAGTGTGTGACTCTGGCTATGTCACACCGGGTGGGGGATAGTGAGGGATACACCCGGTGCTATGTGACAGGGAGGGACGGGGAAAGGCTAGGTTGTTTGGGTGGTGGAGTTCAATTCCAATAAGTGTAAGGTAATGATAATAGATGGGAAAGGGGAGACAGAAAACCCAGAAGGTGTCTACACCATACACGGTAGACAACTGCAGGAATTGTTGAGAGGAAAACATTTGGGTTTAGATACATGTCTAACACCAGAGGCACACACACACAGGCAGGCTGACATCAGCGGCATATGGGACGCTGGTAAACATTTGAACGTCGTTTTAGAAACCTAAACCGGGACGCTTTTAAGACATTAGACTAACACCGGAATATGCGGCACAGGTCTGGAATTCATCCCTTGTGAAGTATGCAACAAAAATTGAAAAAGTGCAGAGGTTTGCAACTAGATTAGTGAACTAGTGACACTGAAGGATATATGACACACTGGCTCGCATATATGACACACTGATCACTGGCACAACATCTCTGGTTCGTATGCAACACCATTCAACGTTTAGTAGCTGCAAATCGTTGCCGATGAGTTAGACACCTAACCCATGAATGTCTCGAGGAGGCGACGACGTTTCGGGCGTTCGTGAACCAACATGAATCCGGGGTAAGACCTTTTCGGTCTATACAACGGACCAAAACGTTATCACTTTCTATACTTTCAGACGTGCGCGTTGGTCGACTCACTACTATCTAACTTAAGAATCCAGCACTAAAAATAATTTATTTTTATAAATCAAATTATAGTAAGTCTTTACTGATATTAAGTAAAATATTTCAATGATCTACAGTAGAATTAGAAGTAGCTATTTTCACATTGTTTAAATAAAATAGTAGTTTGCATTAAGCGTAATTATTTAACCTGACCTTTTATAATTTAAATTAATTAAACCCTTGGGAGGGGGGGGGAAGGGGGGGGACAAGAATTAGACCAATTACTTTGTTTATTCCATTTGTAAGTGGCTTCCTAGGCTATGTCGGTCACACCTAAGAACATAGGAAGAAGAAGAACATAAGAATAGAGGTAACTGAATAAGGCATATTGACCTAAACGAGGCAGCTCCTATTTATAATCACCCAATCTCAATCATATATATGTCTAACCTATGCTTGAAACAATCAAGGGATCCTACACCTATGGTAAGGTGCAGAGATCTTTCCAAAGGTACGTCTTCCAATCTGTACGTGTTCCAATCCGTGCGTGTTCCAATCCGTTCGTGTTCCAATCTGTACGTGTTCCAATCCGTACGTGTTCCAACCCGCACGTGTTCCAACCCGTACGTGTTCCAATCCGTTCGTGTTCCAATCTGTACGTGTTCCAATCCGTACGTGTTTCAATCTGCACGTGTTCCAATTCGCACGTGTTCCAACCCGTACGTGTTCCAACCCGTACGTGTTCCAACCCGTGTTCCAATCCGTACGTGTTCCAACCCGTGTTCCAATCCGTACGTGTTCCAACCCGTGTTCCAATCCGTACGTGTTCCAGCCCGTACGTGTTCCAACCCGTGTTCCAACCCGTACGTGTTACAACCCGTGTTCCAACACGTTCCAGCTCATTTATAACCCACAGGTAATCCCTGGGTAATCTACACGCATCCTGAAGGTAATCCTATGAAATCCTGACGAAAGGTTATTGATGTACCGGGTGACACATCAACCCGGGACTGTTGATGTACCGGGCGACACATCAACCCGGGACTGTTGATGTACCGGGTGACACATCAACCCGGGACTGTTGATGTACCGGGCGACACATCAACCCGGGGCCATTGATGTACCGGGTGACACATCAACCCGGGACTGTTGATGTACCGGGCGACACATCAACCCGGGACTGTTGATGTACCGGGTGACACATCAACCCGGGACTGTTGATGTACCGGGCGACACATCAACCCGGGACTGTTGATGTACCGGGTGACACATCAACCCGGGACTGTTGATGTACCGGGCGACACATCAACCCGGGGCCATTGATGTACCGGGTGACACATCAACCCGGGACTGTTGATGTACCGGGCGACACATCAACCCGGGGCCATTGATGTACCGGGTGACACATCAACCCGGGACAGTTGATGTACCGGGCGACACATCAACCCGGGACAGTTGATGTACCGGGCGACACATCAACCCGGGACTGTTGATGTACCGGGCGACACATCAACCCGGGACTGTTGATGTACCGGGCGACACATCAACCCGGGACTGTTGATGTACCGGGCGACACATCAACCCGGGGCCATTGATGTACCGGGTGACACATCAACCCGGGACTGTTGATGTACCGGGCGACACATCAACCCGGGACTGTTGATGTACCGGGCGACACATCAACCCGGGGCCATTGATGTACCGGGTGACACATCAACCCGGGACTGTTGATGTACCGGGTGACACATCAACCCGGGACTGTTGATGTACCGGGTGACACATCAACCCGGGACAGTTGATGTACCGGGCGACACATCAACCCGGGGCCATTGATGTACCGGGTGACACATCAACCCGGGACTGTTGATGTACCGGGTGACACATCAACCCGGGGCCATTGATGTACCGGGTGACACATCAACCCGGGACTGTTGATGTACCGGGTGACACATCAACCCGGAACCGTTGATGTACCGGGCGACACATCAACCCGGAACCGTTGATGTACCGGGCGACACATCAACCCGGGCCGTTGATGTACCGGGTGACACATCAACCCGGGACTGTTGATGTACCGGGTGACACATCAACCCGGGCCGTTGATGTACCGGGCGACACATCAACCCGTCACATCTGTCCCAGCCGGATGTGAATGCGACCGCCCAATTAACGGGTTTGTTAGGTTAGCTAACACCATATTTAACTAATGGCTAATCTATTAAGTGATTTACTCTCTGACTACTTAACTAATCTGACTAGTGGTCCGTTTGTCTCCAGATCTGACTGAATTAGTTCATTTTTTTAAGTTACTAAAGCCAATAAAGTGACTTTATTTCGCACTAAAAAAAATTGCAAAGAATAAACTCAAGAGTTTCCTTTATTGGATAATGAACACGGCGCCCATAAACATATATATGATTTGAAAATGAGTTTTCCCACTGAAAAGAAAAAAAAAATAGCATTGAAAAAAGTTTGAAAATTAAAGATCGTTTAATTCAAATTTAAATCTTAACGGCCGAAGGCCAAGCATGCCAGTAACCGTTTAACAAAAATGCCTTCTAATTACAGCGATTATTAGCTTATAATGAGCTTTCTGACATGCACACCACATCTTTTTATAGATGCATGTAATATTTTGCATATTTCCCCTTATGTTTCACGCTGTAGTTTAGCTCCAGGACTAAACAAGGGACTAAACAATTTAACGGTCCGCCAAATTTTCCAGAACGTTTGAACAATTTAATAATTTACGTGATAAATGTATCTTTGCAGTATCCGATAAGGCAATAATATGACCACAAGAGGATATGTACATACACACACACTCAAATCCTAATGCTATTCACATATGTAAATATAATTAGAAAACCTGAGTGAAAGTCATTGAAATATTGACTCCCAACCCAACAAACACATCTACGTTAGTACATGTAGGCGAGTACACACGTACACACACACACACACCTTGATGTAGAGTGGGTAGATTGTGTCTTCCTGTACTGCCAGAAGGCATTTGACACAGTTCCACACAAGTCTTATATACAAATTAAATAGTTCTATAAGGAGTAAGCAAGAAGATGCTAGTCTGAACTAGTGAGTACCTCTCTGATTGGAAACAGAGTTAGGGTGAGGTGGAAAGACCACAAGTGGGAGGGCAAAGGTTCAGTTACCAAAAGACAGGGTACCAAAAGGATACCCAGGAAGGTATCCTTTTACCTCTCGGGTATCCTTTTGGTACCTTTTTGAGGGTATACATGCCCTTCAGAGATCGCCAGGACAAACGCTTCTCCACTTTGAATCTAGATAAATGATTACAGTTCCCACTGTACTCGAGCCACACCTAAGGAAACCCATCAAGATAGAGAACTGAGGTGTGCAACACTGCACGTAGCAACACTACTCGCAGCAACACTGCACGTAGCAACACTGCTTGCAGCAACACTGCACGTAGCAACACTGCTCGCAGCAACACTGCACATAGCAACACTACTCGCAGCAACACTGCACGCAGCAACACTGCACATAGCAACACTGCTCGCAGCAACACTGCACATAGCAACACTACTCGCAGCAACACTGCTCGCAGCAACACTGCACGTAGCAACACTACTCGCAGCAACACTGCACCAGTTTCTACAATAAGAGGCTGACGGACCTGGACAATGCCAGGTAATGCAGGAGGCAAGCTAAGAACATTTGAGAGTCTCAAGAGAACTGATAAAGCTAATAAACAGGACATGTTTAGTGAAAGAGAAGCCAGATAAAAAGAACATGGATGTAAATATGAGACGTGGATGAGTTACAGGGAACGCGTGGAAAGGGAGGGAGGGGGAAGAGGAAGAGACAATAGAAGCCAATACGTTAAATAATAATAATAATAATAATAATAATAATAATAATAATAATAATAATAATAAAAATAAGTACGAAAGGAAACACTGCAGTAGACGTCTTCACACACACACACACACACACACACACACACACACACACACACACACACACACACACACACACACACATACATACACACATCATATTGACTTTACATGCGGGGATCCAGTCCCATTAAGGAGGGGTCAGTGAGGCCGTTTACACACTCAGCCGGCTGGGCTGGTCACACACACACACACACACACACACACACACACACACACACAC